TCAATGGGGGGGGGGGTACCATATATATATATATATATCCGTGTGTGTGTGTGTGTGTGCGTGACCCCTCCCGAATCGGGAAGAGCACTGGTGCTCTCCTTGGGCAGCACAGCTGGGACAGCATGGTGAAGGACAGAAACCAACCCATGATCGTTCGGAAAAGACTGCTCAATCCCGATCGTTCCACAAAGTTGTCTTGTTCGGTGTGGAAGATCCATCGACCGAAGAACCGCGAGCCGTGGTGGGAAGCATCAGGGCGACAGCCGCAGCAGAGCTGTTTGCTATGGCAGCTGCTCCATTGGCCTTAGGCGCACTGGATTTCCCGGGAGCTGTCTCGTGGGAGAACAGGCAATTCTCACCCCGGGTGCAGGTCCCTTTTGGGAAGAAAAGAAAAGGCGATTTGGGTGGATTCCACCGGGTGGGTTACCTTTTGACGGAGCTGGCTTCTTGGGAGGTTTCTTCGGCTGACCACCTTAGGAGCCGCCTTTTCCAACCGATGCCTTTATTACCCTTACTCTTCGGAACTTTGTACTTTTCGCCCTTTTCAGTGCCTTTGCCGAACGTATGCGGGCTGGATCCGGGAGAGCTGTCCGATATTTTGTCAATGGCTCGTGAGAGGAGCCGACAGTGCTTGAGTTTGCTGTACAGCCACGAAAACAGGGTAGTTTCGGCTGGCCAAAATTCTGAGCTAAAACCATTTAGGCAGAATCCCCCGCGCTCACGGAATCATCTTCAGGAACTTCAACGACGGGATCATGTTCTACCTCATCCTCCGCCTCTCCTTCTGCCTGGTTGGAACCAATGTCCAACAAGTCTGGTGGGCAGGAGGATGCCCACTTGGAGGAAGGAGGCTTGGGTGTTCAGAACAAAGGAATCACTGGTGAACTTTTCGTCTGTAGAGGCGGAGAGGGAAGATCGACCCCCGTGAACACAGGTAACCTTGGTGCACAACTGAACCCATAAGGATTTGGTGCCGAAGCAGCTGTAGCTTTGCCTCTTTTTGGGGCCACCGGAGCATGCGGGCATACTACTGGGATCTGAGTGACACTGCTCTTCGACTTACCTTTCTTCTTGGGCTTCGCAGCTTTCGGACTAACAATCTCTCTCAACTTCCGCATCGTTTCTCCCACACGGTCCTACGCTGGCCGCAAGTGCCTTGAGGGCTTCGCTGATGTCCGCGCCATTTTGGTGACATGCTCCAGCAGCCTGCGACATCGTGGCAGCTTTCATGTGGGAAGTGTCGGTTTGGGATTGTTGTTGAGCTTTCATGCTTTGCATGTCGGCTTGGATGATTGCCATCATCTACTTTTACTATTCCTCAAGCTCCTGATTCCTGACTTGGAGTGCTGTGACGGTCTCGTTGGCCTGTGTGAGGTGTTGTTGGGCCACTTGGGATACCAACCGTGCCTGACCGGTTGCTGTCTAGCATCTTGTTGTGCCGAACTCACCGCACTCTGAACATAGTTCAGGCCTTCACTTGCAGCAGTCTGAACAAACGCTTGGGCTTCATGCTGAGCATGTTTGCAGCCGCGAAGGCTTGGGAATGGGTTTCCGAATCAACCCCGCGCACATGGAACTCCTGATGGTTCTGACGCAGGTGCAACGCTGGTCGCAACTGCTGGTTGTGATGATGCAAATGGACTTCAGGGGTGGACAAGCCAATGCCCGGTGCAAATGAAACTGGAGGACCAATGGGATTACTGATCTTAGCCACATCGCAAGCATATGCCGTTGGAGGCACGACGGCTAAGGCTTTAACCTTCGCAGCAAGCGATTGGGACCAGGATGTTGAGGAGGAGGTAGCAACTTCACCGCTGCTTGATGAAAGCTGCAAATCAGTCTCCGGGCTGCTCTGTGATGTTTAGGACTCCATGGTTACCTAGGTGGCTGGACCCCGAATTGAGGCAACCCTGGACAATGGAGCAACCGCCCAATCACTACCTCTTGTCCCGTTTCACAGGCTCCGCAACCACCGAATGATGTCTGGAAAGACAGAAGAATGTGTTGTGCCAGACGGGAGCACAAAATCGGTGAAGCCAGCGGCTGCGACCTCGCCCAGAATATCACGCCGATCGTCGATTAGTGCAATGGCACACGGGTCCAACCCCTTATCGCGGCTCTACCACCTCAGGGCTTCAGCCTTGCCACCGCATCCAAGGGCTCCTGCAAGTAAAGACCACCAGGTCATGTCAGTCATGGCAGCTCGGTCTGGAGCGTGGCACGCGCAGCACGAGGGTTTCCAATAATGAAGCCGGGCAATCAGATCGCGGAGTAAACGTCGCGTGTCATCATGCAAAGCAAATGTCGCAGACGACGTGGAAGCGCAGCGCGAGAAGCGCTCTGCGCGGCTCCGATGCATCAAAAGCGCGCTCAGACGCGCCGGCCGATCCATCAAACGCGTGCCCAGGCGCGTCAGCCGATCCATAAACGCGCCCAGACGCGTCAGCCGATCCATCAAATTCGTTCCGCGATGTGTCAGCCGATCCATCAGCAGCACTCTCAGGTGCGCTCTCTGTTACCAATGCTTCAGGAGGCGATGCTGCGACTGACTCGTCCACCTGTTTTTTCCACTCTTGCCACTCTTCTACTGTCCACTGACCTACTGTTCCTTCAGTTGGCTCTGTTTGAAGAACAACCCTAATGAATCCGATATGGTTGGGCAATCCCTTGCGTCTGCAACCCTTTCCTGCTGCGGGCGCAGCAGCCACCTCGCCTTTGGCTTGGGAAGCGAGCGGACACCTTTGAATTTAGGGGGTACAGGAGTTCTAGCACCCTAATATGTTGGGCGAGGTTCAGGCTGCCATACTCCTGTCCAAACTCTGTCGCCCCCTCCAGCTTTGGCTGACGGATTGTCAGGACAGCAAATACAGAAGTAGGCTCAGCACCAGCGTGAGCAGGCCACAGACCACCGTCAAAAGAACAACTCATCGTCTGCGACCGTCTGAGCTGCGCCCACTCGCTGTGGGCGGCCCTCCATTAAAGGCGTGATCCAATCGTTCCTGCCACTGCTCGACGGCCGCAACTCGGCGGACAGTCGCCGCAAGGAGGAAGACACTATATAGGCCACAGGTGGCCAGCCTCACGGGGATATAAGCCGAGGCACTGATGGCTAGCCCAGCGAGGATCCCGATCTTAACCCCGAAAGGCGTAGTCACAGGTGGCTAGCCTTCGCGGAGATGTAGGCCGAGGCACTGGTGGCAAGCCTAGTGAAGATCTAAGCCTAGGCACTGGTGGCTAGCCTAGCGGGCCTAGCGAAGATCTACGCTGGGAGAGCCGCAGAGGGCAGAGAGTGTGGCGTGCCAACGACTCCCGAACGCCCCCAACTGTGGCAAGCCTTTTGGGAACCTTGTTCACTGCTCTTTGATGAGGTTGGGATGTGGGCTTCGGGTCTCACCGTTTGGGAAATCTCCGAAGTCCTGAACTGGGATTGTGATTGCAGCGCGCGGAATGCCCAACGGTGCTGTCGTTGCGTTTGAAGATGTGGGCTGTTCGGGAGTCAGCCGGAAGGAACTCAACCGAGCACCCTGAATTGAGGCAACCTTTGGGAACCGTAGTTTTCGCAAAACGAAGCTGCTGTCCGTGCCGATACAGCTTCCTTAGCCTAGCCTATTGAACAACCAGATGGACCCGCCCCTCGTTCCCGGCTATGTGCCAAGAGGATATGGGTGGTTGTTCGGGATAGGTTTGGCTGGGTTTTGGATAAAAGTTCTTAGAGTCTTACTGAGTGCACCTCGACGCTCGGCAGCGGAGAACCTTATGCAGAAACCGTTCTCACCCAATGCGAAGACGTAGCCTTCTCACGTTTCTCGCTACAAGTCTAGACCACAGGCAGGGGCAGAAGGATGAGCAATACTCCTGCTTCAGATCAAAGTACACCCAAGGAAGTGTCTGGTAAGTGGACGGGTGTTCCTCAGATTCGTTTGCTTGCATACACAGGTGAGGAGTTCTCAATATGGAATGTCACGTGGAACAGGCCAGCGGCGACAGATAGGAAGGTCGAATGAAAATCGAGCCTGGCTCTGGCTCTCAAATGAATGAGTGCAAGTATGGGGCAGGGCCCGGGGCACCAGTGTTGCAATTTCAAGGACGACCTCAAGGCAGGTGTGCGGATATGGAAATATGCCGGGACACTATGGCGGCGAGAGGCTTGAGAGCTTTGCCTAACCTACCACAGAGACCACCAAGGTGAGGCTGCTAACCAGTTATCTACGTGGTATACACGTATAACAAGACACAGCGTGCGAAACACTCCTTTTGTCTTGAGCCAAATGTTGTGAGCAAGCGAAAAGTTCGCACTTTTTTTTGTCTACAAGGATCATCTAGATACATCATGAAAGTGCGCGGGGTCCGAGTATTTTCAACTAAGCTCGCAGTACCTCCTACACGTAGAAGTGCTGCACTAGCCATGCCCTGAGGCTGCACCGAGGAGTGCATCTGAGGCAACTGCAGAAGATGCTTTCTGGGAGCAGCCGGCATTGTCCCACCTCGCATAGCGCGTCTACTTCCCTGTGGTCTTCACGCTTCACTGGATATCTCACCTACGAGTGCTGCCCACTCCAGCGGTCGGATTGGTTCGAAGTTCGAGTGTGTCCAACCAGAAGAGCTAGAAGCAAATGCTCGTTTCAACCAACCCGTCGCCAGACTGCGAGTCGCCAATGACGAGTGTTGTGCTGTTGATGTGGTTGTTGGGCGACCGCACGTGCCTGCCCTGCATGGGCCGGATGCACAAGGGCGGAAGAATGGCCAGCGGCGACAGATAGGAAGGTCGAATGAAAACCGAGCCTGGCTCTGGCTCTCAAATGAATGAGTGCAAGTATGGGGCAGGGCCCGGGGCACCACTGTTGCAATTTCAAGGACGACCTCAAGGCAGGTGTGCGGATATGGAAATATGCCGGGACACTATGGCGGCGAGAGGCTTGAGAGCTTTGCCTAACCTACCACAGAGACCACCAAGGTGAGGCTGCTAACCAGTTATCTACGTGGTATACACGTATAACAAGACACAGCGTGCGAAACACTCCTTTTGTCTTGAGCCAAATGTTGTGAGCAAGCGAAACGTTCGCACTTTTTTTTGTCTACAAGGATCATCTAGATACATCATGAAAGTGCGCGGGGTCCGAGTATTTTCAACTAAGCTCGCAGTACCTCCTACACGTAGAAGTGCTGCACTAGCCATGCCCCGAGGCTGCACCGAGGAGTGCATCTGAGGCAACTGCAGAAGATGCTTTCTGGGAGCAGCCGGCATTGTCCGACCTCGCATAGCACGTCTACTTCCCTGTGGTCTTCACGCTTCACTGGATATCTCACCTACGAGTGCTGCCCACTCCAGCGGTCGGATTGGTTCGAAGTTCGAGTGTGTCCAACCAGAAGAGCTAGAAACAAATGCTCGTTTCAACCAACCCGTCGCCAGACTGCGAGTCGCCAATGACGAGTGTTGTACTGTTGATGTGGTTGTTGGACTCGGTGCCCGTCCGCACGTGCCTGCCCTGCATGGGCCGGATGTACAAGGGCGGAAGATCAGAGGCAAAAGCAAGGACTGCACCAGTCGCCACCCACCCAACAGGAAAGCATGCATGTGCTGCAAACCCAAATATCTGCATTAGGGCAAGCGCACATCCGGCAGGGTGGAAGGTCTAGCGTGGATCTATGCCCTGCGGATGTTCGTCTCGTATTGGCAGATTCGTGTCCGAAGTGGCCTCGCCAGCAGGTTTAGAGTTTTCTAGAGTTTGTGATCTGTGTTGATCTTGAATCAACTAAGTCCTGTCACGCTCCAGTCACACATGGCTGGGTGACAGATTTAGCTCGAGTCCCTTTCTGGCCTTGCAGCCGCCATTGCATATCACTGGAGGCACATACTCCAGTGCATCATACGTCTTCACCGGTTGCATCTTAGCAGCGGGCGCAGTGATCCGAGCGTGAGGATGACTTTGACTGGTTTCCGCTTCCTGGTGGGAGACTGTATACGAGGGAATTGTCTGTTTGTAAGGCTTTGTGGGTATACATTCGAAGATGCCAGCCCCTCTCGCCTTTTCCGCCTTCCCATGTCTTCTGAAGCCTCCTGAGCTGAAGCAGTCAACAGAACAAGATGACATACTCAGATTTGACCTACACAGACTCCTGTGGCCACACGAGCTCCACCTGAAGCAACGCCAAAGCTCTCTTGATTATCGGAGTACGCGAGCACGTGACCAAGGCGTTTCACACGGCGAATGGGTTCGGAGACGCGGCCTTGGCGTCTTCGCTGACCCCTTCATTGACCACTCCACATGGGAGCCTTTGGAGGCCACATACCAATTCTTGGTGCCGTTGCCATGGTTACAGAAGGACCGAACGAGGTGAGCCCCTCCAGCATGGAGGACCTTGCAGTTTGCACTCGAACATGAGGCACCAAGAACTTCGCAGAGCATCGAATCGAAGCGAATGGCACTTGAGGGAATCTGGCGAAAGTGATTGCAGCCGCCGGTCCGAGAAGGCCAGAGTGGCTTGCCTTGAAAACGGCTTCAGCAGCTCCGGAAGTGCTGCACTGCCTGCACAATTCCTGCACCGTGCCTGCAGCCGGCTGCAGCCTGCACTTCCTCCTGCTCCAGCAGCACAAAGAGCCTCACAAACTCTCCAGCCCTATTACGATCAAGGCATGCTACCATCAGCCTATGACATCCTACGCCTACGTCGGCACACACACACAGACTTTTTTCACTTCAAGCACTACTTTCGGTGATAATAAATACAATAAACATTCATAAACAACTAACAAGCCGCATCAATCGGTTGTGTCCCGGATCCTGCCGGCCTTCTATGTCAGAGCCTCTGGCCTGTCCAGATCTAACCAAGCCCGGGCCCGCGATCACGCTTCCCGCTTCCGGCTCCGGGGAATGTACTTCTGACTCCGGGTAAAGGTTTTTCGCGAAATGAGGAGGGTGTATAAGATCTATGATAAACCGGAATCGCCAAAGGACGCGGCGTGCTCAAGATATATGATGAACCGGGATCGCGAAATAAAGGTGTGTGTGTGTGTGTGAGATATATGATGAACCGGGATCGCCAGATGAGAGGGGCCTGTTTCTTTTGGATGAGCCGGAATCGCCACATGAAGGGGCATGTTGCAGAGATACGATGAAGCGTGCTCGCCAGACGAGGCGGCTTGTTTGAGATGTATGATGAAGCGTGCTCGCTAAATGAGGGGGCGGGGCGTGCTTAAGATCTATGGTGAACATTGACATGATGAACCGGAATCGCCAAAGGACGGGGCGTGCCACATGCTTAAGATTTATGATTATGACAAACCGGAATCGACAAATGAGGGCGTTTGTTAAAAATATACGATGAACCGGAATCGCCAAGTCAGGGGGGCCGTGCGCAGACCGGACAACGGCTGAACTGTAGGACCGCGGGGGACCCGCGTGATCGTGGGCCGCGAGGCCGCGCGTAAATAATACTGTTGCGCAGGCTCAACCGTCTCCCTTTGAATCCACCTAGAGATCTCTTTCCATGCCGCATCGGATGGCTTCAAGCGCGAGCCAAAGCCCGGAAGTGAAGGAGCACAAAGCCAAACCCGGAAGAAATGAGCGAGGCTGGACGCAGACCATCACCCTTGCCTACATCTAATGCAGTCACTGACTGAGACTTAGAGTCTTAGAGTGCCCAGCCGCAAATCCAGGGCCGATCTGCCCGGAGAGCACTTGGCTGCTTGCCATGTGACGGGTGCGACGGCCGCCTCTGAACGATGAGAGCAATGATAGCGGATGCTGAATCCCTGCGCCTGCTGCAAGTGCTCCGAGGCCCAAGCGACCAATCCAACAGTTCTGAGCCACTTCGCCTGCAAGGAGAGCCTGCGCGTCACTTTACCGTCCTTGAGGCTCCGGGCTTAGTTCAGGCGCCTCCGCGGTCTTCTCGACTGAACATGAACCATATAAGAGGCACAGCCTCTCGTCCTTACAATAACGTCCTTCAAATGAAAGCATGCGATATTGAACTCCCTGTGTCGGAACCGGCAGTTTAACTGCGAGCCGTATGTCTGCAGCACTCAATGGTCATCGCAACGACGAGGGCTCTTGAGTGCAAAGGCCGGTGGGGCTTCTTGTGCGGGCTTTCCGCGAGTTCTAAGCCTGTCTGACATCCCTTTGGGAGGTCAAAGCTCCTAACCCAGCTGCAGCGTGGCCCACCGAGATCAGCGCACGTTGTCACCGCATCGGTTTGGATCTCTGAGATGTCAGCGTAGCTGCAGCGAAGCTTGTAGAGGCAGAGTCTCCCATCTTTCTCTTTCCATGCCAGTCCAAACCATAGTCCTGGACAAACCGACGGCACGCTACCAACACCGGCATAAAACATGAAGAGCATGACCAGATTCTCGCGCGCCCTTTCCGGCCTATTTCGCCACATGATGAAACACGATGAACACACAATGGAACATGTATGTGATAATGCCAGGCTGAAAAATTGATGATTTCCTGAAGCTCTCTTCATTTTTCGACATTTCTGGGATTTCTACAGGCCCTTGCCCCTGCCTGCGAAACGATGAGGCTCTCGTTACTGTTCGAATTCCAGGATGATGAAAATGATAACAAAAGCAGTTGTGAAATTGTAAATGATGATCAAAACGATGACCTAACTTGAAAATGACAAGAGACTCTTGGGTGGCGACCACAGTCTCTCCACCAAAGAGCCTCATAAGGCTAACAGATGAGTAGTTGTTCAAGCCGGTTCACATGATTTTGCTGCACGTTGTCGCAAGTTGAAGGCTCAGGATTGCCTCGGTGCTTGCATGTACATCCTTTGAAAGACTACACATGGACCTGTGAAATGAATTACGCAGGTGTAGCCTGGAAAGTGCTGTGCAAATGTCTACGACATCTGAAAGCTGCCTAATCTGGGCAGCTGTAAGCTGAGGCAGAAACGTCTGCAGCTTCCGGTCTGTCCAAGACCTTCGCATGGAGCCCAAAGGACTCGCAGATTCAAGCTTGAATCAAGCTTGAGTGCTGGATGACGGTGCTCAGTTGCGGGCGGCAATATAGTGTTTTCTCTGTCTGGAACTTGCTGCGACAGCAAAGACCTCAGCCCGTCAACACGCCCAAGCTCCAGAACTCACGGGCCAGCCTCAGCACTATATACGCTGGATCCTACATAAGCAACTGTTTGGAAGTGCAGGACAGACTGAATCATCGGTCCTTAGGCCCTCACATCCGCGGTTCTGCAAACAATTCCGATGCACTTCGGGATTGACACATCCTCAGCTATAAAACCGGCACAGTCGGGCACAGGCTGACGGCATCTAGACAGATCGGCCGGCAACACAACACCGCCACACAGAGATTTCAACAGAACGCTAAGGCAAACCATCAACGCCCGAACAGCAGCCATCTTGGCTCAGATGCAAGACTATTTCCTGTGAAAACATCGCAAGTCCCTCACTGAAGAAGACTTGGCCAGCATCAATTCTCGAATGTACTTACCGTGACGCACTGTGTGTAGGAGTGCGCCAGTCTGCCAGCCATCAAAAGTTTAAATTGGTTTCGAGATTGGCGGGTCTTCTCACGCAGAAGTCTCGAGACCAGCGGACCGACAAAGAAACAGAGCGAGAGACAACGGGCACCCGAGCCAAGGCAGGGGCCGAGTTGGGAGACGCGAGGGCAACGTGCCTTTGGCCCGTAGGAAGTCGGCAAACTGCGCGCTTCGCTGTGACGTGACCTCGGAGCCAGAGAGGCAGAGAAGAGAGAAGACCCAGCAGAACATGCGGCAGTCAGCAGGCTGATCTCAGCAGGCTGGGCCGAGCTCCGAACTCCGTGAAGCGGGCTGGAGAAGGTCATCGCCATTCGAGCACGACCTTCCAAAGCCCCGAAGCCGCTCGCATCTTCCCTGCGACTAATCCGGTAGTTCGCGATGCTAGGGAGAGCACGTTCTTCCCTTCGACTCGGAGTGGGGAATGCATAGTCAAACGGCCTCAACGGGTTGACCACTGGCTTGACCCAGCGCGGGCCGTCGCAAAGGGTGTGCTGTCTCAAACTTGCAAACTAATCCTCACCGGCAGGGTGTCCCCATCTACTCAGGCTGCAACTGTGCGGCCTGCTCCGGGGCTGTTTTGCGACCTCAAATGCCCGGAACACCCGTAGAACACCCGTACGGCCCGATGTGCACTCCAGCTTTGGGCATTTGTTTGCTCCATGCACAGAGTCAGGGAGAGAACGAAGCGGCGTAGTGGAGAAGAGATGGCTGGGTTCGCCACACCGATGGTTCTCACGGATGGTCGATTGTCCGGAGGCTTGAAAGCGCAACCGGCTGACAGAACCGATGAGGAGCCAGCACTGCAGTGATCTGTGCTCTCCCTCCTGCACATTGGGTCGGCATCTTGCCCAGTGATTTGCGGCTGACCAGCTCAGCTCGGCACTCTCTCCGAAAATGGCACGAGCACATCCTCCAGTTTACAAACTGGGAGTTCGCGTGTCAAGCATGTGTTGAACTCCATGGTAGGCTACCCCGGCCCATCCTGCGGAGGGGAAGGACCTTTGAAGCGCTCGAAGTTCCTCGGCCAATATTGATCTCCGCAAGAGCCCGAGCGTAGAGCTCATCAGGTTCTCAGCAAAAGGCGCAAAGCTGGACCCCAGCCGCTCCAGATCACCGGAAGCAGCCAAATGGATGGTGACCGGACCTGTCGAGTTGTGTCGGTGTGGACTCTACTCACTTCATTGTTCTCTTTCGGCATGCTGAACAAAGCCTACGAACACGACATCGACATCTGCTGGGGGCCTTTGGCAAACTGCTTGGCAGCCATGCGGAAGGAGTGCTGCTGGGGGCATGCCTTGCCATCGTGAAGGCAGAAAGACAAGTGCCGGAATCTATCGTGTTGTGATGCCCCACACCGTGGAGCGCATCCGCCCCGACACTCCTCCAAACATTGTGTAGAAAGCTGCGCCTGCCTTATGCGAGCCCGTGGTTGTCGGAGCGTTGTCAAGACGCATCCCTCGGACCGCGACGATAACTTGAGCCTCCAAGTTCCCCTGCAGATTTGCAAACTGGCAGCGGACCAAGTGTTTCCGCACCCATGCTGTGCACACCCGCATCTCTGCAGAATGAAGTTGTGCAGGATCCTTTCGTCAGCAGGCATTGCACTGACGAACTTCTGCCCTTGCAGTTGACGAAATGTGTAGAAATGGTGTCGGTCAATGCCCTGTTTCAGCTTGACACGGCCAAGTCAAGATAAATTCAGAGTGAGACAGGTCTCAGGACCGAAGCCCCAGCAAAGCAGATGGTTACAACACTTACGAAGCTGCAACCCCTGAATACGCCTGACGATAACCGACCACGGCCAACGCGTCGCCGTGCTCTCTTACCCTCCATGGCGGCTCATAAGCTCACGCAGTGCAGCTGCGGTATGTCCCGCATGACCTCAAAAAAGTCTGCGCATGTCGGCAAAAGCGCTGTGCAACTTAGCGTTTGCTCTGCCTATGTTCCACGGTGTCCTTGCCTTGGTGAAGTCGAAGTTTTTGCAATACTTGGCCAGAGCCTCAGAAAGAACCGAATGTGCATTCCGCTAAAGCTCCTCGTGCAGAAAGGTACCGAAAACTCCATAAACATTGATACATCGATACGTCCTCTGCCGCGAGGGAATGCAACGTTATCGACTTCCGAGACTAAGCTCACCATCGCGTGTCTTAGCCTCAATAACTGCCGGAAGGCCCTGGAATGGGCCCATGGCCTATCCCTCTAGGCAGCACGAAGTTGCAAGATGCGGAATGCTGCGGAAGCATTGTAATGGATCAGGTTGATTTCGTTGACGGTTAGAGTTCGATCGACTTCGCACATGCGTCCTTATCGAAGTGCTTTGATTATGTGGCTCAGTGGCTCCTCTGCACCCACGGCCCGAGTTTAGCTCCATGTCCTGCCATGCTGCCAGCATCTGGCCGTGCAAAGATGGACGTGGGGGAAGGGAACAGCTTTTCGGATCAGCCATGTGTGGCTGAAAGGAAACTACTTCCGGTTGCCGCGTTTCGTCTGCCAAACCATGTGCAGCCAGTCAGGTGGCATCAACATGGCTGCGGCTGCTGCAACGCTGGCTGAGACTTCGAAGCATGTTCAAGATTCGGCGTGCTCGAACCAAAACAACTGACGAGCAATGTCGAACACTGCCAGTTCGTCGCCGTTTCGATGCGTGATGATGCACGCAGTTTGGGGTCAATTTGGGCATGCGGATCCGCCTGGTCCGTCACAAGAGGAAAAACCACAAGCAAATACTTTCAGCATTTTCGCCTTCGCTGGTCTTCTTGCATCCGTCGAGTCGGGCTTCTTCGTGCATGCCGCTGCTCCAACTGCATCGCATCTTCACGTGTGAGGCATGCTACATGACTAGCAACTAGAAGAAGTTTGCAACAGCTGATCCGTGTGCTCATCCCTAAATAGAGCGTACGCATAAGATAGCACAAACATTAACATCGTTTCGGAAGCAGCTGCCAAAGCTAAGCCGAGCCCAGAGCTCAACATTGGGAAACGCTCCTGCAGGCGGTCCAAGCGTTCCTTCCAATCCTGCGCAGGCTCAGATTCTTCGGCACTTGACCCGTTGTAGCCTTTACCTTCACTGCCTGCGCACAAGCTGGAACCTTTGTGGCACTTCGCGGGTCCTCCTCGCCAACGCGGAGCTTTGGTTCATCTTGGCGCATCACAACGCAACTTCCCTCTCAAATTGCTGTTCCTAGGAGCATTCCAATAGCCGGCTCGACTCTCCCATTTCACCTCTATTTGTTGGCGAATAGACCTAGAAATGAAGGCCCGCTTGTAGATGCAGGCTTGGGAGTATTGTTTCAAATTCAGTCCTTTCCATGTACAGTAGCAGTAGAAACCGAGGTGTTCATCAAAAGGTTTCTGTCGCGTGGGAAGCCCTTCCCAAACGGATTGGGTGGTTTCTCATGCAAGCATCCTGCTTGTACGAGTCGAAAGCCGTTGTCGGAAGAACGCCAGCGACAAAGTTGGCAGAAACCAAGACGTCGGCCATCAGGTTGCAAGGCATCGGCCTCGCGCAAACACCAAGACTGAGCGCTAGACTTTGCAGTGATGTTGTGGCTAGTGTTGTTTCGTGGAAGACTGTGCCTCTTTCGGCTTCTTCTCGCGCCTCTGCACAAAGAATCATGTTCTGGATCAGCCAGAAACAGCGGGCCGTCATGTCGTGGCTGTTGCGCTTTGCCATGCTTTGCCTGCAAGCCGTGAATGCCGGCCCAGCTGCTCCTCGTGGGACATCGCCCAAGCCGGAAAGGATTTTGAGACCGACTCACAGTAGTGTCCGACCTGCTGGAACGCGCCGAGCGGCTTCAGAGTCCTCCTTGCATCTGTGTGGCAAACAACCATTGGATTCCTTCCAGTAGACACGCTCGGATGCTTTGGGCTCGGCCACCACGGGCTGCAAAAGGGGCTTGCCACGTGCATCATGCAGTGGAAGCCAACCTGTGGCCAGGAGCCTACACAGCCACTCGACAGAACACACAATGCAGGATTCACCCTGCACCTCTGTCGGTTTTCACCCATTGTTCAAGCACCTTCACCTGAGTTGTGATTTGCGGAAGTGTAGCACTGTAAGCTTGTTGTTGACAGGCAGTGCTTGAGCTGCAAGCCACTTCCCCTGCCCCAACGCTGCAGTCCAGTCTGTCATTGAATTCAGGGTTTCTCCTCGACCAAGGCCATCGTTAGCTGCGAACAGTTTCGGGAGACTTCAATCTGACATGACCCTCCAAGCTCTCAGCACGCGATGTGGAGTCATGTGCCCAAGCCCGGCATTACTGAACAGTTAAGCATCGGGAAAATCAGCTGTGGCGCCCCCCCTTGAGTCGTGTCCTCCAGGATATGCCATGGGGAGCAATGACACGAAACGGCAGGGCACCTGCCAAGACTTCACTGCTCACTGTGCAATGTTCCATGATTGTGGACCTCTTGTGTACTGTAACCATCCATCTCAGAATGGTCAGCGCTCGAAGACCCAGCACAAACTACAACTGCCGACCAGTTCTGCTACTTAGCTTACTAACTTCGGTTCCTGCTCCTTCTGGCCCAAGTACGTAGTAGCAGCAGGAGTTGTAACAGTAGCGGCAGAGATGGTGGTGGTGTAGCGGCAGCGGTAACAATAGCAATAGTAGGCATAGGACCGGTAGCCCGAGTAGTAGTAGTAGTAGTAGTAGTAGTAGGAGGAGTAGCAGTGGCATTAGTGGGAGTAGTAGGAGTAGGAGTAGGAGTAGGAGTAGGAGTAGGAGCAGGAGTAGGAGTAGCAGTAGCAGTAGCAGTAGCAGTAGCAGTAGTAGTAGTAGTAGTAGCAGCAGT